AGTTCCATACTCGACAACTAACACTTCAGCCACCAATCTCCTCAAAAAGAATTTTTCACACCTCATCTTTCCATTCTCATCCCAAAACGAATTAAAAAATTGAAAAAATATATCACAAAATGGTATTCGCTTAAACTCAAATGACATCAAATCAAATAAATACAATTTTTCAAAATAAAAAGGACTAATTGGTTCATAAGAAAATTTTTAAGACTAAATGGATCAATATTTCCCCATATGGGATTTATGGGTAAATTTTCAAATTTTAATCTAATTATGTTTTAGAATACAATTAATCCTTAATTCTTAATTGTTTATTAAAATTCTTAACATCTTAATCTAATTTTAATTGAATTGTGTTTTAGATCAAATTGTGTTTTTGTCCTGTTACTATCAATTTATATTTTCAGAAAGCTAGACCCTTTCAAATAAATAGCGTGTGATATACTTTTCGTTAATTTGAATGTAAAAATTAAAAATAGTTCTTTAATTCAAAATTGTAAGAAGACTTTCTAACTATATTTAAAATGTATTGGGATAAAGTGCTTCCTCCAAAAAAAAAAAAAATGCGCTCAGGGAAACCTCAACCTGGCCCATTCCAACCCAACTGACATGCCATAAAATCCCAACAATACTAGAACTCAGAAAAGTACCTTGAAAAGCATATTTATGAAGATGAATGCTAGGTATGTAAGAAAATTATCAATTTTTTTACCCAACATTCATATGAGTGTGGGTCTATACTCATGAGTTTCACACTCATATGAGTGTTTGATAAAAAAATTTAATAATTTTTTCAGAATCACTAGCATTTTTCATTTATGAATTACAATCATTTTAAATGCGGTCAACATTCTCTCAACTTTAAATTTACACCATTCACCTCATTTTAAGATAAAATTCATAACGCTGGTCATGGTACTATACACTATCCAAAAAGGGGTGCGTACCATATGCAACTTATGACATTTGTAGTGTTGATATACAAATGTCATAACTAAATCACTTCATGACTAAAAAAATATATAAAGAGTCATAACTAAACAGTATTTAAGGTATAACAAAAAAAATGTTATAATCAAAATAATAATTACAATAGATCATAACCAAGTCATAACTAAGAGTCATAATCAAACACAACTTGAGACATGATAACCAAAGACCTCCTTGGTCATAAAAATTATAAGAAATCACAACTAAATGCAAATATCATAACTGAAACGTAATACATGTTTTAAAAAGGAGTGTATTATAGAATTTTTCATAACACAATGGAAAATGCTATATGTTACAAATTTTTTACTAAATGAATGACCTAATGTCTTACATGTGTGTGGGGTCCATAAAAATGTGGACCCCACACTTATGTGACACATTTGGTCATTTATTTGATAGAAAATTCGGTACCCCTAATATTACCCTAGCACAATTTGATGCATTTTTCATAAAATCTACGTACTCACTGGTGAAATGGGAATTGACTCATGTAGACACTACAAGAATTAACACTTTTGGCAACAAAAAAATTGGTCGCTAAAAGTCTATTTTTGGTCGGCAAAAGTTATCCGCGACCAATTTTTTTGGTCGCTACTTTGGTCGCCAATTGAGGGTCAGCAAAAGTAATTCGCGACCAAAATTTTGGTTGGTCGGCAAAAGTTGGATTTGCCGACTAAATTTTTGGTCGCTAATATTTAATTACCGCGACTAATTCATTTTGTCGCTAAAACACTTTGGTCGCGAAAAGTGATATTTTCCCGACCAAATATCTTAGTCGCCAATTGACACATTTCGCGACCAAAAAGTTTGGTCGCCAATTCTCACATTCAACGACCAAAAAGTTTGGTCGCCAATTGTGACATTCCACGACCAAAAAATTTGGTCGCCATTTGTTACTTTTCGCGACCAAAACTTTTGGTCGCCAAAAGTGAGTTTCCACGACCATGAGCTGTTTTGGTCGGCAATTGTCATTTTTTGCAAAAAAAAATTATTCTGCATCATTCATGATGGGTATCTAGTCTTCAATTGTCATTTCTCTAGGTCAACTGCAATGCATCTTGCAGATCCTGAGATGGCCTTCATGATGGGTATCCAGTCTTCAACAGTTCCAAGAAACCCATGGAGAAACACAAGTACATTATTCTGCATCATTCAAATTAAGAAAGAGTGATAAAGAATAACCACACCTAACTCAATTTCAGTATGTCTAACCAGTGGTGCTGCAAATGGAAAGCCATTTTAACAAGTGAAAAAAAGGGAAAGAAGTTTTTTAGTTACAGCTGCTAGGTATACAAAATGTGGACAGATAACCATGCAACATAGACATAACTCTTCATGTATCAGTACAAAAGATGACATAGAGAAATGTGTAACTCACTCCCCCCACATTAATGGAACTCCTCTAATTTTTTCCACCAACTATGTACAAGAAACCAAAAGAAAAAAAATGCACCCAAGAACTATTTGCTTTCCATTATTTGCAGTTAATCATGTGACAAATTATCTGGAATTACACAGGTATTAAATACCCTAGAGCTTTTTGTGCGAATTCAATGGATCAAAGACTCCAAAGGATACAAAATATTAGCATAAAAATTAAAATTCTAGTGCTTACTTCATTGCTTGATCCAATCTGACGTACATTGATGAAAAAAGAGAAACCATATGAATTAACTGTTAACTGGTATTTATGACCTTTTTCCCCAGGAAAATTTCAAAGGATGACCTTGTTGTCGACTTGAAAGTTCCCCAAGAGACGGCCAGCATCATCAACAGATGCTTCTATGAAGCCACTGCATGGATTACGACAAATATTCAGAGGTTCAGAAGTTATATCTTCTCTTCTTTAAGCCAGCTGTAATTTCCAAGACCATGTGCTATAGAAGGGGAAGGTTCCTTGTTCATTGCCATACATATACCTGCCTTTTGCAACTCAAGATAATATGAGAACTGGACATATGCTGACAAACCTAGGCTACTCTCAACTGTAGCACTAACAACACTCATCTTCCCCTGCTGCTGAGCCCATCTTACAATCAATGCTGCATTTTCAAAACCCCCCAACAACACTTGGTTTGATGACCTGACAAGAGTTATAAAATGAAACCAAATTAGGTTCATATTTCTGACTTTTTCCCCATTGAATATAATTCATGTCAAAAGATGAATAAATAATGATGGGGAAATTGTGACTGAAGAATTTTAACAGATGCAGCAGTTTGTAGGTTCTGATCGTGGTAATAGCTTTCATGTTTCACAGATAGAAAAGAAATGAAAGGCATACTGTCGTAAGCATAACATGAGTTGAGATGAGTTTAATTACTCAAGTGTTTTATGCATCTTGTCCTGATTGAGGTATGCAAGAAAACCTCCAAAACAAAATTTTCATTCAATTATATGTGGTTTAAAACATATGGTTGGATTTTTTCACGAGGCTTAGAAATTGAACTTTTTGGATTGACAACGACTAGTGTACTGTCTGATGAGGCATACACGATGATACGTATTACATGCTGCTCGTCCCAATAACTAACATAAGAAAATAAACTTCCACTTACGACAACAACTACTCCTGAGTGAGTAAACTTTGCCAGCATTCCAAGAGAATTTTCTTATCTTTCTCATGTAACTGAGGGAATTAGAGTATCTAAAGGGCTACTGCCTACATGCATCTCTCAACTAAAAAACTGAATCATTTTATGAATTATGATGTTGCAAATCCACATCAGTAAGTAAAATTACTGAAGTGTTTTTATGCATCTTGTCCTGATTGAGGTATGCAAGAAAACCTCCAAAACAAAATTTTCATTCAATTTTATGTGGTTTAAAACATATGGTTGGATTTTTTCACGAGGCTTAGAAATTGAACTTTTTGGATTGACAGCGACTAGTGTATTGTTTGATGAGGCATACACGATGATACATATTACATGCTGCTCGTCCCAATAACTAACATAAGAAAATAAACTTCCACTTACGACAACAACTACTCCTGCGTGAGTAAACTTTGCCAGCATTCCAAGAGAATTTTCTTGGACATTTTCAATGGTTTCATCCAGTGCTACAGGTAACCCAGTTTCTTCACAGAATTTAATTATATCTTCATCATCCTGAACAGGTTCCTGAAACAGAGTTGCACAGAGATAGCTAAATAACTAGAAACCTCCAATAAGTTATTCAGAAACTGTGTCAATGAAATACTAATAGGGATCAATGCACTAAAAGCAATTAAATAAACACTCAAATGAAGATGAACCACAATAATAAATGGTCGATCTGGTAATATGTGATTACCACAAGTTAGTATTGTGAAGAACTAAAAATATCAAATTTTGTGTCCTATCAAATTAGTATTGTGAAGCACCTATCAGAGTCGTCTTCCCACTGCCAGTTCTTCCAACAATATCAATTTTGTGTCCTCCTTCAAATGTACAACTTATCCCACGAAGAACAAGTGGTGCATCAGGCTTATATCTTATTTGTTTTGACATCATGTATATATTTCTCAGTCAGTGTGCTACTATCCTTTGTCAGTTTAAATGCGAATGCACAAAAAATTTACCTGCAAATCTTGAATCTCCACTTTACCCCTAGTCAGCCAATATACAAGGGGTCGGTTCTCTTCTATCACTTCTGGAGCTTCACTTGGCATGTGCATATATTGGTTGAGCCTTTCCACATAAATTATGTAATTTGCTAGAGTGCACTGGTTTTGAATGGACATAACAAAGGACATGTTCAATAAGAGACCATAGGACAAGGCCATTCCAAGAAATCCTGCAAAAATAACACAAGGTAATGAGAAACATCATATGAAAGAATCAATTGCAGCCATTATATTTATTATTCTATTAATTCATTTCCAACAAATTTGCAGTTCATAGAGCAGCCACACTAATTTTTTCTTGTTCATATCTATTTTTTGTCTTTAATATTAGTCTATGACTATCTATTTCCACCTTACTTTCTCTTTTTCCTTCCCCTTATGTCTCAACCCTCTACATATCTGTAAATTTGAGATTCAAAATAATAATAATTTTGATTCGGATGCACCCTAATTTGTTTGGGATATAGCAATAATAAGAATAAAGAAAAATTAGATAAATAGCCACCAGAGCTGAAAGTTCCCGAAGGGAGCAAAACCATGCACTGATGAGGAGAGAACAACTGCAGTAAGTGTTTCGAGCTGCTGGATCAGCAACTCATTTGCTGCAAAACTGTGGAAAAATGGAGTAGCATTTACATCAATGAGGTCAAGATTCTTGACAAAGAACCGATCTTCCTCCTCAAAAGCTCTTATTGTCATGGATCCTGCTATGGACTCAGCAAGATGGTTTGCTACCAAAGACTTGGTTGTGCCATTGAGCTGCATCAATTCTTTCGCAGTGGCGAAGTAGTATCTCTGTGAATAATGCAAGTTTCCAACAATTTTAGTAGTTGAGATTTGAGATTTAACACACACACAATGACAAATCCACTCATAAGGAGGAGGAAAAAGAAGCAGCAAGACACAAGAATTATCACATTCTGCTTTATAAAGTTTCTGCAACTTATCCCACGAAGAACAAGTGGTGCATCAGGCTTATATCTGATCTGTTTTGACATCATGTATATATTTCTCAGTCAGTGTGCTACTATCCTTTGTCAGTTTAAATGCGAATGCACAAAAAATTTACCTGCAAATCTTGAATCTCCACTTTACCCCTAGTCAGCCAATATACAAGGGGTCGGTTCTCTTCTATCACTTCTGGAGCTTCACTTGGTATGTGCATATATTGGTTGAGCCTTTCCACATAAATTATGTAATTTGCTAGAGTGCACTGGTTTTGAATGGACATAACAAAGGACATGTTCAATAAGAGACCATAGGACAAGGCCATTCCAATAAATCCTGCAAAAATAACACGAGGTAATGAGAAACATCATATGAAAGAATCAATTGCAGCCATTATATTTATTATTCTATTAATTCATTTCCAACAGATTTGCAGTTTATAGAGCAGCCACACTAATTTTTTCTTGTTCATATCTATTTTTTGTCTTTAATATTAGTCTATGACTATCTATTTCCACCTTACTTTCTCTTCTTCCTTCCCCTTATGTCTCAACCCTCTACATATCTGTAAATTTGAGATTCAAAATAATAATAATTTTGATTCGGATACACCCTAATTTGTTTGGGATATAGCAATAATAAGAATAAAGAAAAATTAGATAAATAGCCACCAGAGCTGAAAGTTCCCGAAGGGAGCAAAACCATGCACTGATGAGGAGAGAACAACTGCAGTAAGTGTTTCGAGCTGCTAGATCAGCAACTCATTTGCTGCAAAACTGTGGAAAAATGGAGTAGCATTTACATCAATGAGGTCAAGATTCTTGACAAAGAACCGATCTTCCTCCTCAAAAGCTCTTATTGTCATGGATCCTGCTATGGACTCAGCAAGATGGTTTGCGACCAAAGACTTGGTTGTGCCATTGAGCTGCATCAATTCTTTTGCAGTGGCGAAGTCGTATCTCTGTGAATAATGCAAGTTTCCAACAATTTTAGTAGTTGAGATTTGAGATTTAACACACACACAATGACAAATCCACTCATAAGGAGGAGGAAAAAGAAGCAGCAAGACACAAGAATTATCACATTCTGCTTTATAAAGTTTCTGCAACATTAATTATATTTAATTTGTTTTTCTACTTCAATTGATTCATCAGTTCACATACCGGCTTGTGCCCTCCACCAATTCACTCAACCACTTCTTATTGATTAGGGCTTGAAAAAACTCAAATTATAAGTTTTGAATCGTACGTCATATGATTTTAAGAACTATGATCATTAATAACACCAATTGCCAAAAAAATCCTAAATCTCCTGATTGTCAACGCTTGCTTACTAAATTTCATTTCATATCCAATTGTCATATTACGTAGGAGATTTAAATAGCAGAAAATATTCATCGTTAAAAACCTCCTAAGGATTACCTGTAAGTGAATTGCAAAAAGAACCATTGGTATGGAGACAAACAGGACTGGCCAAGTAACAATAGCTAACACCGCAAGATTAGAATACGCATTTGTGGTAGCCCCAACACAGAAGATAAAGCTAAATGCAATATCAAGATCAACAGTACTCAAATCAACTGACACCTACATAAAAGGAAAAAAAAAGTGAAGATTTGGAAAGCTAGTTTCATGAATAGCCTTGATATGCCAAAACACAATTCATACTTAAGTGTTGGAGACACTTACTCAACTCAGTATCCTTCCCAAAGGTGTAGAATCATAAAATGACATGGGCGCATGAAAAAGGGAATTTAAAAAAATTTATACAGAATGATACTCCCTCCGTCCCAAAATAATGGTTCCTTTTGGGGAATCCAACTTTTTTTGGTAGTACAATTATTGTACTTTTAAAAAGTTGGTTTTCCAAAATTACCCTTTGATATTACACTTTTTTGAGAATATCAATGTCATAATTGTACTTTTTATATTATTTATGAATTTAAAAGAAGGGCAAAATGGGAAATTTATATTATTTTTGTACTTGATTTTTGAAGAGGGACTAATATTTTGGGACAATAAAAAATGGAATAAGGGACTAATATTATGGGACGGAGGGAGTATGTCTTATATCTAATGAGACCAGTATTTTATGGTCTTATATCTAAATGGGTAATGCTATACAAACTGGCTTTTTATACAAATGATGTGATACCAAAATCGATCATGAATTTCCTTCACAAGTTTCGCTATCTATTAAATGAAAAAGCACAAAACTCATCCCTACCTATACTCCAAAACTTATCTATGTAAAAATGCACCTACAAACTTACTATAGGGAAATCAAGTAAAGCAATATTACCTTCGAGATCATATTACATGTTATATGCTCACACAAAGTGCATAAAGAAGCTATACAGAGCACAGATGTGAACTACAAAGTTTTTGCATATGTGCAACATCACACACACACACACACACACAGTTACAATATTATGCCTTCTGATTGTGATGACGCCTGTATCACTTCAATCATGTTTCTACATGAAGTGGGAAGCTGTATACTCAGATCTTAATAGGGTGGGGCAGTCACGGATGATTAAACAGTACTCGTTAGCTAAATCAAAAGAGGCAAATGAAACATACTTCAGGGGATATTAGAAAGAATATCCCAAATTTTCCTTGAAATTATAAGGGATATCTACAAAGTTAGGGTAATTTTCTAAGAATTTTAAAACCATACAATCCATTTTCAAGACAAGAACTAAGAGCAAGGCTTCTCAAAAAGTTAACAGTACATATCCGCAGCAAATTTGCATATCAGAACCAAGCTAATACAAGTTTGAACCACAAAGTAAAATAAAATCATCACCAGCAAGCACTAAATTACGTTCTGTACAGCACCTGAGATTCATTAGACAACATAGGACATCTGAATTATCAATAGCTATATGAGGATAACAGGAGAAATCAACACTTCAAATTCCATGAAAATATTTTCAAAATCATTCTGTAATCTTCTACATCCTAGCAAGCACTGTCAAATGCCCAGAGAACAGCATGTTCTTAAACTCCAAATGCCCAGAGACATGCATGTAATAGACATCAAATGCCCAGAGAACATATATATGCCTGTGAATCACAATCCATGCAACTATGGTTCTGCTTGGTGCAATTATATTTGTGACACCACTTAGACGACAATCCTCTAACCAAATGACTCAATTTAGAAAATTTCTGAACCAAACATAAAATTGCTTAAATAGTACGTTACCTTAACCAGGTATTAAGATATTGCTCCAACTCCATCATTATAAATTTATATCCATGGCGAGTCTAAATAGCAAGCCCATAAATCATGTCATGAACTATCCACAATAACATGTTTGATAGAAAAGTTCTGCATAAAATATATAAACTTCTAACAGTTACAAACAGACATTATAAAACCTTATCTTCATTTTGTTGGTTACTCGCAGAATGTGGGCTTCACACACCCATGGAAAAAAAGTGCATGTTTGATGTGTTCCCATGATAAAAACTAAGTGCTTGCTTTTTTCAGTGGGATAGTGACAAGGAATAAAAAATTCAACATTTTCGCTCAATAAGTTAAAAATGGTTTATCCCAAGATGTTTAAAGGGCATGAAGGCAGACTTGACAAACCACCTTTTTCCTTGCAAGATCAAATTTGATCTCTGTTTTCTCCTTTTGGGTTTAAGCATAGCATAAATTGAGTTTTCAATTTGTTTGTGTAATGTCTGTCGGGTTGGAGTTTGGGATAAGAAAAGACTTTGGTATTTAGCACCAAAAACAATTTTTTGTCGTTCACAGAGGAGAGATGAATCTCCAACAAGGAATTTTATTTTTCTATATACAAAAAAAAAACTTCTTATTTTTTAGTTTGAGATATTTATTATCATCAATGCCGTTGTTAAAAAAGATTAATCTTTCTTGGAATTCTTCAGTTATCAAACAATAGTTATGTTTTCCTCCATTCTACATATCTTGCCCATACTTCTCCATTTGTTATCTTCTCTTTCTTAATAAAATTTTATCAATCATCAAAAAGAAATCAAGTTCATTTTTAAGCTGTTCCCAGCAATTATTCACAACATTTTTTGGAACCATCCTAACAGATTTTCAAAGAAACTCCCTATTTTCTTCATGCTAACTATCATGATCACTACCCAAGCCTTCACCCAGCTAAATAAACTAACCTTGGGAGCGAGTTAACATCAACAAGAAAATGAAGCAACAGTTATTAATAAATTATTCTCATTCAAAAGAGATACCTTTAATGTCCTAAACTGCATCATGTGACCAAGAATACTCATTAGCCGATTAACCAGCTCCTTCGATATTTTTCCATCGCTTGCCTGCTGCAATCACCAGACAATATATATGAATTAATTCTATCAGATTATTTTTTCAACCACATTAAGTTTTGCTCATTTCCTTTGTGATTTTTCTTTTAAAATTCTTTCTTTTAGAGTAATTTGATTTCAAAACCAATGAACTTATTTATAAATAGTAGAATAAGTTGAAGAGAATATGCAAAACCCCAAGCTAATTTCTAAATCAATAGACGAACTTACTAAACAAACTGATGTAATCTGAAAAATGAAAATTTTGAATCCAATAGCCCTTTTTTCATTTCTTCTACTGAAATTGCTATTGAAAATTAATGGCTAATTCATTCCAATAGCCATTCATTTTTTTTTTCTTGAAATTAGCTTGAAAATGAAAATTTTGAATCCAATAGCAATTCCAAGGTTCATTTTTTTTTTTGGGAGTAATGCTGAACAAACAAATTTAAAAACAAATTGATATAGGTAATGAGTTGTTCCTATTATGTATTTAAATTCAATAGATCCTATTTCAAGTTTCAAATCTTCACTTTTGTAAGAAAATTATGTTTGTATATCATCTTCTCATAAACCAAACAGACAACTGTATACAGACTAACCTGATCACTCCAAAATGCTTGATCGCACAAACTAGAACCCAAGCCATCGATCAAACTATCTCGACCCCTCGAATTTGACCCGATTGATCGGGTTTGATCCGCAGAGAGAGTGATTTGGTGAGAGAAAGAACGAGCACAGCGAGAAAAATGCCGAGGAGATCAGCAACAACGTCTTTGGCGGAGGGTCTGGCCGACTTGAAGAAGCCAAGCTCGTTGGCGACCTCTTTGGCGGCGCCGGCGGAGAGGGAGACGATGGATCTGAACCAGATGGTCTGGCAGCTTTTTCGGAATAGCGAGTTAGGGAAGCAGGAGAGAGAAAATAATGGTGATGGAGAAGCAGAAGAGAATGTGTTGTAGCTTATTCGGGGACCAACCACTCGTCCCCATTCTCCATTAGAGACAGAGAGAGAAAGAGAGAGAGAGTTGGACGGGGGCAGCGGTTTAGGGTTCACAAATGGCAACACTTAGAAATGGCGACCAAATTTTATAAATGGCGACCAAATTTTTAGGGAGAGTGGGTACAAAACGACGTCGTTTTATAAATGGCGACCAAATTTTTTTTTGTCGCAAAAAATTTTCATTTCCCCCCTCCATGTTTTAAATTTCCCTCCCAAACTTTTCACGACCAAATGACCAGATTAGTCGCAGAAAAGGTACCTTCGCCGACAAACTTTGTTAGTCGCCAAATCTCAATCAATGGCGACTAAAATATTAGTTGCTAAAAATACAATTTTGGCGACTAATTTTTTTTGGTCGCCAAAATGTAACCTTCCGCGACCAAATTTGAAGTTGGTCGCCAAAAGCATACCAATTTCTACGACTAACCCATTTTTGGTTGCTAAAATGTGACTTTCTGCGACCAACTCATTTTGGTCGCCAAAAATAATGATCATTCGCAACTAATTAATATTTTGGTCGGCAAATGTCATTTTTTTGCGACTAAAATTTTTTTGGTCAGCAAAAATGGTCGGCAAATGTGTAAATTCTTGTAGTGAGAATTCAACCAAACACTCGTACAACTAATTTTCTTCACAAGTCAAAATGCTCAAAAGCTCCACATTCCACACTACCACTACCACCACTACTACTAACAAACATTTGTTGAAGTTGGTGTTGGACTTACAATCCAGACCAGACCAAAGGGAGCGTTGGATGGATATATATGTGTGTGTGTGTGTGTGGACCTTTGGTTATTATAAAATTATAATAATGAACATAATTTTTATATAAAATTTATAAAATTTTGGACTCATGTAGAATTCACTGTATATCATCTAAATGATGATCAAACATAATTTTTATATAAAATTTATAAAATTTTGGACTCATGTAGAATTCACTGTATATCATCTAAATGATGATCAAACATAATTTTTATATAAAATTTATAAAATTTTGGACTCATGTAGAATTCACTGTATATCATCTAAATGATGATCAAACATAATTTTTATATAAAATTTATAAAATTTTGGACTCATGTAGAATTCACTGTATATCATCTAAATGATGATCAAACATAATTTTTATATAAAATTTATAAAATTTTGGACTATGTTAGAACAAATGGTGTTGAATTCTTCAAATGGTGGTCTTTGGGTCTTGAAAATTTGGCAATGATCTTGTCTATATAGAACAGAAAATT